ATACAACAAACACCCCATTCCTACTTTTTAAAACACACCGTTAAATATAAATCTTTACAAACGTGAACGAACCTTGGTACAAACTGGTTGGCTGGTCGTTTTGGTCGATACTCTGGGTTCACCATGAACAACATGTGAGGAAATCCCGTGCCGAAGTAGGCTCCATCTGTGTGATGATGTCTGGAGGATTTAGGAGTGTACACATCCATACACTTAGGGCAGTAAAGCTTCACCATTGCCTCTCCTGGGATATCTGACAAGCCTAGATGAGTCGAGTCAGAAAGCAAACAGTAAGGAAAGACTTAATGACCAAGTGTGGGAGAAAATGTCTAGAAAGAGTCCACCTCACCAATAGGAAGCATTGGCTGATTCTCGCAGTATACTCTGGGACAATAGCCAAAGTCCCCTTGCTGGTATTTTTCCAACTAAAGAGAGAAACAAAAATTAAAGATGGCTGCTGATGATTGATTTGGAGAGCCAGTGAGACTCGCAAGTCATTATGCACTGCGGTACCATTTGTGCGATGCCTCTGTTTGTGAGAATGTATCGTGCATGTATAAGACCATAGAGCATCTCAGCTGCCTGCTCAATCAAATCGCTCTGATTCTGGTTATCTTCAGTTTCCTCATCTGTTAAAGAAAAGTCACGCAGGAAGTTAAAAAACTATAATTTTTCTTCCTTTTAATCCAAAGTCAACACCTCTCTAATAACCTCACCAGGCTCCAGGTCGAGAATCAAATCCAAAGCCTGACGGTAATGAGGGACCTGCTCATTCAGTCCTGTCAGGTTGAACTTGTCCTGAATGTAGTCTTCATCAACCTGTGCAGAGTACATTCAGTGAATAGGTACTGTTGCTGCAGTCGGAATAATACCACACACTGATGTGAAAGCATTAGAGAAGCGTCTAACAGGATTATTCAGCTGCTGCCAGGGCAGAAAATAAAGAGTTATAATTAGAAATTGGATTGTACAAGTGCACATGTGCAAGTCTAACCAGTGATTAACTGGATGGATGCTGAGAACAAACAATTCCTGGAAAATGAATTCTGTTTTTTTTGTTTGTTTGTTTGTTTTTTGAACAAACATGATCTCTGACCGGTTTGTTTGGTATAAGCCACCATGTTCTCCGGTAGAGAACACAGTGTTTGCAAAAGTACTTGAAAAGGATTTCTGCTTTGCCAAATATATTTGCATTTTACAGTCAACCACATTTGGAACAATTATAGAATCTTTTCAGTTGCGTCTCTACCAGCATTGCAGATATAGAGTAAACTTTCAGCATTGGTTTTTGAGTCTTATGAGGAGTTATTTAGGGATTTTGACCATATTCTGAGCACACACGAATATACTCAGAGCTAAATCTAGCTATTGCTTTTCTGGTTGTAGTTGTAGTTTTAGGGTCTTGTCTTGTTGGAAGTTAAAACATTTGCTCATATTCTTCCTTGGTGTCCCCAGTATTCCTGAGCTTTGTTCCTGTTAAAGAAAAGCAGCCTCATAGAATGATTAAACGCTGGTGATTTTCTTCACTGGCATTATTCAGTCTGTCCTCTCCACATTCACCGCTGTGTGATTTGTCTCAGCCACAAAACAGGACAAACAATCAGACCCATAGAGAGGGTCATTACAGCTTCTATACATTTCAAGTCGGCGCCATTTGCAAAATCCAGTTGCCACAGAGAGTTTCTTTATCCAGGCTCTGATGAACACAATGAACATCTTCCGTAGATTTATTTTCCGTGTACATATCTACACTATTGCAACCAGTGCATACACATATATTGTATCTCTCTACTTACTATATCTTTTAGGTTAAGTATTACTTGTTAACACAGACACTGTAGTCACAAGAAGAAGCTAATAAAACACTTCCTTAAAAGTCATTTCTGGTATCTACTTAAAAGGAATGCTAACTGAGCCAAAAGGTCGTGACTACGTATTGTTTGAACCACTACAGGTGTCTTTCGCATGCACAGAACATTCCCCCCCAACGTACTATTTGGAGATTTACCCCCAGAATTTCAGCTAATAAAAGGCTGTCCACTCTCTCAATTTGTAACCTAGATATGTGAAACTGGCAACATTTAGAAGTCAACGCTTAGTAAAACCGGTTTTGTTTTTAACGTAACACTCTTGGAAATGTGTCAGAACTACATGTTTTAAGACCCAACAATTTCCGACCCCAAAAGCCTCTCAGTTGAGGAACAAATGTAAACAGACTGGATTCCTTTATAAATGAGCTCCTACTTTTGATTCTTTGATCATATTTTCAAAGTAAAGGTGTAACTTGCCTCGCAGAACAGCTCGTTTCCTCTGAGTCCACAGAACCAGGATATCCAGGACACCTCCTCCGAACTGCTCATCCTCCTGACAAACAGTAGAGCTCTTTAGATCCACACCAGTCGGCTACCCAGAAGCTTTCATTAAAACAAACTTAAAAATGAGCCATTCTAACGTGATACGCCGTCACATATCGGATGTGTGCTCCGATATAGTTTACGTTCACCGCAACTTACGTTAGCTCTTCATATACACGCTACCTGGCTAGCTATTGTGTTGCTATGTAGCTTAGGGTACATAATTCGGTAAGTATTTCTGTCAAAAGTATTTTCACATGAGAGTTTATTAAATTACAACATAAATTTAGCTTCACTTACCCGTTTAAATGTGCCTTATAATATATTAATATGCAGGCTTTGCTAGCTTTTCCTCTCTTCCGCGATGACCAACTTCCGGTGTCTTAGGTTTTCAAATTAATAGTCTAATTATAATGCGTTAACAGGAAATAGAAACATTTAACGAATTATAACTCGTTGAATTTAAACAAACACCGACACTGTTTTTTTTCTCCACTTTTTAATAAAATAACAATTCCAATACACCGGATGTAACAAAAAAATGACATTGACGCCCATATTTCTCAGGTAAATTAAAAAAAATCCCAACAGTTATAAGTCACTTTAGCATTAGGCAATATAATTTTCATTTTATTATCAAACTTATGCAACAACACTCCATCCTTTTAAAAGAATTTAAAAAATTTCAGTCAAATTTCCCACTGTTTTACATCTTGGTTGGGCCAGAAGGACTCTAAAAAAAAAAAAAGAAAAAAAGAAAACATATCCTGATGTAATGAAGACTTCAGGGAAGGTCTGAAAAGGTTTTGCGTGAAGGTGGACCAACATCCTTCTGCTCCTGCTCCTTTCCCATTCCTTCGAACATTAGAATCCTTAGCAGCAGAAGAAGAAACACTTATTACTTCAAATTTTCAATCATGCTCTTTGTACTTTCTGAAGTTCCTTTAGTGAGATGCCAGAAAAAGTGCTGTGAAAGTGAAAACTGTCATTCACTCTGTATTTTTCACACACTTATGGAAACACGAAAAACATGGTTGGTGATAGTGTGAAAACTAAAGAAATCCACTTTTAACTTAAAGTGTTTTGGTTAGGGGTAAAAGTTAGCAGTAGTTGACAGTTTAAAACAAAAGCCAGGCAATCATATACAGCCTTCTTTTAAAGCATTGTGTTTGTGCAATGGATTTCTTTACTCAGAGCTTACATGAAAATCTACCAGCCCATTCCTAGTCTCATTACATAGCAAAACACAAAACCATTTAAATATTTTTCTTTTATTTCAAAGACATACATTCATCAACATACTCAAAAGCTCTAATATGAATCGATCTAAAATCAGACACCCTTTCGGTTTCATGTTAACCTAAATATACTCACAGCTTCAGAATTGCATTTCGCTTCCCCAGCATCATATTCAGGAAGTCGTGGTAGCTGATTGTGTCCTTCGATGGGCCTCCAGCTACCTCTGACATCATCTTTTTCAGCTCTAAGTGAGTTTTGGCCAGTCCAAGTTTTTCCAGCATACGTTTTAACCCCATCATATCTGGAATATTGTTTGTGTATATATAAGAAATTAATTTGACAAGTTTAAGTGACCTGTGAAAACGCTGTTAAAAATGAGTGAGTGAGCAAGTTGAAATTTCTCACGTTAGCTAAAAATACTTTTGATACGTAGAAGTTTGATAGTCTTTACCTATGTCTCCTTTGTCGTTGAGATCAAACTCCATGTATTTCTCTAAAAGAAAGACATTGAAGTGTTTTACAGAACATTATACCAGAAATTTAAATGCAAATAAAGACATTTATTTCTCTAAGTAACTCACTTTTGAACATTTCAAGCTTTGTTGCCAGATCTTCCTCCTCTGCATACTTTTCATCGGAGAGAAACGCCTGAAAAGGGGATCAGTTCATTTGTTTGGTCGCACCATGAAGCTAAATTACTCTACCCAAATATGACAGTTATTCTAACTCACCTCATTTATGGAGTTAAGTTTTTCCTCCTGCTGAGACTTAAGAAGCCCATAAGCTTTACCTCCTGTTAAAAACAAAACGGTGATCAAACAAATCATTTTCTGAATTCTGAGAAGAAAAACAAACCATATCAATTTCAAATTTCAAGCTTTTTTCAATTGAATTGGCTTTAAAAATATAAGCTTTAGCAGAGAAATGCGAGCTTACCTTGAGCATTGTTATCCATCTGTGTGAACTGTACTGGGAAACTGTAAAACAGTGACTGTTTTTAATCGCTGTGGCTGTAAATTGTATCTGAAGAGGAAGTGAGGTCTGGGTGAAGTTCCTGCATTACATTTAAGGCAGCAGAGAGCTAAGGTCAACTGGGTGATGCAAAAAAATATTCCCATTTACCCCATCTTTTCAGCATGCAGGGTCTGAAAACTTGTGCCATTCGGTTCTTTTTCATGTTACTGCAGTGTACTGCCCACAACGCGCTCACTGTTATGTTTCACTTCTGTACAATGCGATGAATGAGCTTACATGTTTTCACTGTTTTCAGGAAGCAATACTGTTGAAACATGGGAGATTGTTGTTAGTCAGCGAAGAGACAACTCAGTTACCTGAAATGAAGGCATAAGCCAAGAAATTTAGAGTTTGTGCAGTTAATCTCAATACTTTACTAATACACGGCATTAGAAAGATCAAATATCCTTAAATTTTTACTGAATCAATTTATTTGAAATGTAGGCTGGAACATGACATTTCTCTACTAAAAGTATTTTTTTTATCCAGCATAATTTTTCTGAAACTGAACATGGTTTTGTAATTAGCATTATACAATAATCTTGAAAAACAATCCTGCAAGGATAAACCGGGATAGACATTAGATGGAAGGATGGATGATGTTATAGTTTATTCAGTCACATTCTACAAGTCAATCACCATGTCGCAGTGATGTTTTATTTTTGCCAAACGATGGCGCTCTTGCTCAATTGAAAATAGGAAAACTGTCCTATATTCATTGTACTTCAGTTTCAAGATGACACTTCACAGGAACTGAGAATATCCTATCTTAAAACTAAAGGTACAAAAGCTAATCCTCACATGACCTTGATGCATTTGTCAGAAAATGGCTCACTTGTATTTTCAGGTTTGTCTTTTAGTGTTTGTATTAAAAGTTCCTCCCAAATGCAGAGGTGAGTTTCTTGTTGGTCTTTTTTATTGGATTAAATCAGCCAATATTGTATTTTAATATATATTTTATGTCTTTTTTTTTTGTAGATTTACACATTTTAGTAATTCACTACATACAGTAATTTTTTATCTTTCCTGTCTCAGCAACTTCATTAAAATCTTACTCTGTGAGTGCTGAGTTTGTGTCAGCTATTAAAGATCAAGACGTGGCTCTGTCATGTCTAAACTTCAACATCACGGATCCAAGGATTTGCTATAGAATCAGACTGACGAAGAAAACAAATGCCAAGGAACCGTCAGTTATATTTGAGTACCCAAAGAAATACCAGGATGCCAAACGTGTGAATTTGGAAGCAAACATGAAAGGACAAACGTGTGTTTTTTTGAAAACCTTGCAACAAACAGATGGAGGGACGTACGATTTAGAAATTTGGAAAGGATGGGACAGAATTAATGTCACACAAATAACATTACAAGTGAAAGGTAGGATCTTCATTTTTTTATTTTTTTATTTTTTATTTTAACGATTCATTTATATAATCTGCATGGTAGGTCACATGCTTCTTTATGATTTTTTAGACTGCTGGATTCTTAAGCCAGAGGTGGCAAAGCCTGGTCAGAAAGTGAGTCTTAACTGTTCAGTGGATGCAGAAATGGCCCCTTCAAATGTCACATGGGTGAAGAAGAAAGGGAGCAACTCTGTTCCTGTTAATTTGACAAGGGTTGAAATCAAGGGTATATCCCTGACAATCAAGTCTGTGTCTGCCAGTGATGACGGGTGGTACAAGTGTGATTATGTACTCGGGCAAAGTCATCGCTGCTCAGAGATCAATCTACATCTTCAGGGTCACCAAGGTCTGATCTTAAACAGATCTCTTCAGTATTAGATCCAGTAATGTTGTCTATTAGATAACTGTTACTATTCCTTTGCTTTTTTGTTTGATTAAGCAGAAGACGTGTCCGCGACTACCATGAGTACAACATCTGCATTTACAGAAACTCGCCAAGGTGTATTTTCTGCTTAATTTTCCACATACACTATAACAGTGGTCTCTTTGTATTGAGGTGTTGAAATGGCTTCATCTTTATGTCGTTGCCAGCCTCTCCTTACATTGCTTCGGAGACCAACAGGGCAGAAAAAAGTGGTGGAACCTCGACTCTGGTTGTAGTCCTGACCATTACCACGATTTTCACACTTGCAGCACTAACAGGAGTGCTTATTTACAGGAGATATAAAACTCAGAGGAACTCTGCAGGTGGGCTCTCTGTTTCTCTCTCTGTTTTGTAAGGTTTTAAGGTTTTATGGTTGATTTCTATTGCACAGCACTTTATGACTTTATGTCTGTGAAAAGCGCTTTATAAATAAACTTTACTTACTCTGGTTCTCTCTCTCTCTGTTCCTCTATATGTGTGTGTATATATATATATATATATAATTATTTGCCTTTTCCCTTTTCTTCTCTTGTGAACCAGTCTGCTTTACAGACTCTGCAGATATTTATGAGAATGTCAGTCTTCCATGTTCACCAGGTGAGAGTAAAATTATGGTCTTGGTGCCACTTTTTTTTAAATCAGATATCTAAACTGCACCTCATTATTTGTATTTTCTTGTCTTAAAATTATAGAGTAATTTTCCACCTTTTAAATGAGAAATGTTTGTGTAACACACAGATGCTACAAATCGAATCAACAGCTTGTATGCGTTCCCAGAGGAGAATGTAGAAGGACTCACCTGTAAGTATATGGCAATGATAACTCTAATCAATATTTGTATTGAGTATTCATGCAAATATTCCAATATTCCCATTTTTGTTGCAGTTCAAATCTAGAAATTTTCTGGCCACTCGAGGAAAACACTGAAGATCTTTCTCTGTTCCCTCAAAAAATAAAAAAAATAAAAATAAGACCAACCTGCCTGGCACCAAGAAACATGCCACCTTCAGCATCACAGCATCACTTAAATCCTTTTTTCCCCCCATTGGTTTGACCTTCAGCATTTTGTTATCACCATGTCTAAATGCCTAAATGTGGTGAGCTGCTACAATGTAATTAGCTGATTCCTTATTTGTGCTAACACCACTGGACAGAAGTGCCTAACAAAGTTTCCAGTCAGTTTATTTCAAATGATCTATATTTTTCAAGTGCAATGTTTGCTACATTGTTGTCTTTCAACAGGCTTTATTTCATCCAAAGTGCGCATGTGATTTTCTCTTGTGTATTTTATTTTGCAAATCATGTTTATTGTGTTGGCAAATAAAACTATTTCAGCATTTAAGTAAAGACAGAGCAGTGTTTATTTTACTTTAGTTCACAGGTTGCAATAAATTGTAGAAACCATCATCAGTGGTGGCAACTTCTCTATTTAGCGGTCCCGGTTGCTGTACTTCCTCATCCTGAACGACATCATAAATATGATTCTGGTAGAAACAACCAGAATGACATTAGCATACTGGGATATATCAGACCGACACAAATCAAATGGAAATGTTGATATATATACTTATTTCTTTTTACCATTGAGATGCTTGACAGTTCATCAGCTGCAGAAAGAGAGAAGACATCAGTTGTGACTTTTGGTACATGATCAAAAAGTGAAAGTTTAGGTGACGGGTTCCTCTACCAGATTCAGGACTCAAATCCTTGTTGCGGTTCCTCTTCCAGTGAATAAAAACTCCTCCTGCTGCTGCACATAATAAAACTCCAAGAAGGAGACCTAACCATGCCAGGCTCTGCGGAGCTGAAGAGAATGTAGTCTTATTTCTTTTTTCTTTGTGCTCAAACAAGATTGCATTAACAGAAAAGTAACCCTGCATACGTACATTTATCAGGGCTCAAAGTTTTCGATGCCCTCAGTGAACCTTCTCTGTACACAGAGCAGGTTATTGCATCAGAGCTAACTGGCCAAACCGGTAGAAGAAGCTCATTGATCAATGTGTTGTTGACATGAAATAATCTGCCTTGCCAACGCTCTTGGTTACTTCCTGACCAAGTTAAGTTGAAGTTTTCTTCACATGTTTCAGCACAAGTAAGCACACAGGTCAAAGAGAGATTTCCTCCTACTGGGTCTGTATTTGCTGCAACTGTAACATAGAAAAAAAAGTGTCAGAAGAAATTTTTAGATAGCTCTCAGAGTCTGAATTTCTTTTCTATTATTTTTCTCACTTACCTTCGAGGGTGTGAACCCTAAATTTGTGTAACACTCTTTGCTCATCAGATGAACTCATACACTGGTAATCTCCACCATACAGAGGAGTCATTTTGCTGATTACTAAGGATGAGTCTTTGATCACAGGAAATGCATTTGCTTGTCCATTTTCAGGTAACACATCACTGAGCGTTTTGTTATTCAGTGTCCACTCTAATCTGTCTCCAAGTCTGAGAGAGGAAGTGTTTCTACATAGAAGTGACACTGACTCACCAACAGCAGTGAACACTTCCTCCAGCCCATCTACAGGAAAGAGAGCAAAACTCAATGTTTGTACAGACTAAACCACAGTTTGGATTTCTTAATGCAGAGCATTACCTCTTACTGTTGTCCTGTATCAGGCAGAGGCTTTAACCTCACCATTCTGGGTTATTTGGCATTTCCATATTCTGTGATGGTCGGTCAGTTTCCTGGTAATGATGAGTTTTGAGAGGCAAACAGATGGATTTTCAAATCTAAATCTATTACCAGTTATTGGAACGTCATCCTCTGTTGTCCAAGTGAAATGTATGTCTGTGTTGTTTTTACAAAGCTCATTTCCTGTAGATTTACTGATGGAACAGTGAAGTTCTATGGTGCCCTCTGCTGGAGGTTTGTTCTCAGTAACTGTTGAATAAAAATAAAATTACTCTCGTTTAATATTCAATTTAATGATTTTATGAACCACAGTCCTACTTACTGTCAACAAACCGAAGGTCAACACTTGAATTTAGCGCTCCACTTTGACAAGTGTACAACCTGGCATCATCACGCTCCATCTGAGGGATCTCCAGGGAGCAATCCTTTAGCAGACGATACTTGTTTTTCTTTAAATGTGTCACTTTTCCAGCTGTAACCACCTCATCTGTTTCCCATATCGAACCTGTGACTATCCAGTTTACAGAAGAGCAGGATCCAGTAGAAGGTAAACCACATATCAAGGTAACTCTGTCTCCTGGTATAGCAATCTGCAGCACAGGACCTGTGTGTAATAATAAAACAATGCATTTAGGCTAAAAATATAAATAATTATTGAGTATTTGTTTTCAAAGCAGGTATTTAAGTATCTATGCTAATCCAACCTATATTCACTTGCAAAGTGAATTCCGGTGATTCTCTGTTTCTGTGTCGGATAATTAACAAATAAATCACAATTAGAGAACTGAAAACTGGACTATGCTGATTGACCTTCAAGAGGCTCTTCAATGCAATCCATGACCGAATACAGAGAAAGCATCCAGCACATGGTACTGTGTTGGATGCTTTTTCTCCTTACACACATTTTAAAATTTGTAAGGTAAAGCAATTCACCACAATAAACAATTACTTAAATACTTGATACAACCTGAATGAGATGATTATAATAGAAGAGTTGTACCTACCTGATGAATAAAGTACCAGCGTAGCCCAGAGATGAGATATGAGATACAGTCCAATCAAAAGCTGGAAATTCATTTTCCTTTCATAAGACTCTTGTGTAAATGCTTCAGAAATATGACCAAGTTCAGTAAGGACAACCGTTTCTTAAAATACCTCTTCAGGAAGTATTTTTGACACCACATGACAGGATGTTACTTCAGTGCAAAACGGAATGTGTTTAATAGAAAATCTTCTTCTGGGCTGTTTTTGTCGCTCTGCAGGTCCCTGTAATTTGTTCTTCTGCTTCAGATGTTTGAGTAAATATAACTTTTACTTTCAGCCTAATCTTCTCCATCTGTTTTGTGGATGCCAGACTTGTTAACATATATTTTTGTAGATGTAGTTTTAGACACTTTATTGCAAAATTAGCAAAAACGTGTGTGTGTGTGTGTGTGTATGTGTGTGTGTGTTGTTGTTGTTTTTTTTTTTTTATGATTCATGGATGAGTCCAGTTCATTGTCTACTCTGTAAGATGAAAACTGAACACAAGCTGCCTGAGAAATGATATGATAAACCCGATCCAGTGTGAGGTTTTACACATTAGTGGTTCAGTTTTTAGTTCTTCTCTAAAGGTTCTGATCTTACATAGAGCTGGTCTGATTCTCAGATGAAAAGCAAATAAACAGTACAGCACAGCCAAACATCATTCACTCTCCAGGCAGATTAAGGTTTACAGATGTTTATAAATATTATCCAACATGCCTCATCTGACTGAATGTATATTAAAGTTTCAGATTGACCCAGCTGGAGTCCCTTATGAACCTGACAAAGAATCTGAGGAGGGAGATGAAGATTAGGTCCTTCGAACCCCAAAGACTTGAAGCCCATCACTAAAGCAAAAATAGTCATAATATTGTAAACCAGCAAGAAAATTGTTCAGAAATTATTCAGATAGTATGATTGCAGTAATACTTTTATTTCCCCTGTGATTGTTAAGGGTACTAACAGGTTTAAACAAAATGTTAATACAAATTATTCAAAAAGAAGTAAACTAGATTTTTGCTCAATTCATATTCATTTGGCTTTTTTATTATATTTTGATAGACGTCTTATTTCCTATAATAAACAAACGTATCAGTTGCTGAATATTCAGCAGCAAAGCCAGGAACTGCACTACTGCCGAAGGTTACATTGATGCTGGAAACATGTGGATAAGCAGCTAAAAGGTGACATCTTACATGACAGATACAAAGATGTGGCATAGAAAAATAAAACACTGCAAAATCAAACATTGACAAAGTGGCTCAACCACTGAGCCATGTGATGGTCCAGAATCAGAATTTTAGGACTTAAGATGTAGAGACAGTTAATGTCAGCCTGGTGTGAATAAGCTTTTTTTTTCCCACCTCTACAAAACATATAATTTTTTTTTAATTTTTCAAAAAATGTTTTAAATTGTAGAAGATCAGCAGTAAAGTTGTAAAGTTGTCTTCTGTTTCTTGTGATTCTTCTTCCTCAGTGTGTTTCCTCATGGCTCTAAGAAGAAGCAAACTGATGTGAGCACATTTGAACATTCCTGCCTGATTTGCAAAGTCGTTCAGTTCTGACTGTTTATTAGCAGCATAAAAATATGAAAACAACAATCATGTTTAATCTTATTTCTCAGAACAAATGACAGCTTAGTCGAACAGTTCGTAAATCAGCGGTACCTGCCTTATTGCAGTGTTTCCACTTCATGTAGATGCAAAATCCAACTGCAGCTACACCTACACATATTACGAGGCCAAGACGAAGGGCTAAAATCCAGGAAAGCTGCAGAGCTGAAGAGATTAAAGTCTTGTCATTTTTGGTATTCTTATATTTTCTGTATAATTTTTTTATAATGTGTAATAACCCCACATACGTACATTTATCAGGGCTCAAAGTTTTCGATGCCCTCAGTGAACCTTCTCTGTACACAGAGCAGGTTATTGCA